GCTTGGCTTGGCCTTGCCGAGGGCGGTCATCAGAGGGTCCCGAAGCCTTGGGGTGATTTGGAGGAGCCCCCGGCCCTCGGTTATGCTTGTTGTCAGCCCTCGGGGGCTGCTGGTCCGGATGCTGGTGATACTTCTCCACCTCCTCGGCCTCAGCATATCGGTCCCCCCGCTGCAAAGCCCTTATGTAGTCGCGGGGGGGTTCAATGATGAGGCTCCTTGAAAAGTTGCCGGTGCGGAGGACGGTTTGTAGGAGGGCCAGGAGGGTCCCGTCATCAGCACCGTCGACCTTGTCGGCCTCCGTCCTCCAGCGCTCTAGGAAGTCCCGAAGGGTCTCATCCCTTTTCTGGCGTATTGTTAGGAGGTGGGAGAAGTGCTTCCTTGTGCGACGCCTCCCGGCAAATTGTGTCAAGAATCGCTGGGCGAGTTCTTGCCATGAATCAATACAGCCCTCGGGCAGCCTGTTGAACCATTCGTACGCCGGCCCCTCTAAGGTGGAGAGGAACCAACGACACAAATATTCGTCTGACGCCCCTACCATCATCATGCTGTTCTGGTATTTGCTGTAGTGTTCCTGGGGGTCCGTTTTCCCGTTGTATGGCTGTATGTGTTGCCCTCGGTATTTCTACGGGATCCAGGCCGCCAATACCCTTGGGGTAAATGGCGTCCGAGTCCGGAGCTGGATGACGGGTTCCCCGGAGCCCTCGGCCACCTTCTTCTGTAATTCCTCCATTTTGGCCATCATGGCCTCGTATTTCAGGTCTGAATGAGGGGTGGAGGTGGTGGCGTGAGCTTTATTGGACTCCATTTCGTCAAGCCGGCGTTGGAGGGCCGCAATAATCTCGTCCCGGGGATCCTTCGGGAGGGTCTCCGCCCCCTGCGAACGAACCCGGGCCGAGTGGGCCTGGTTGATTTGGTGGCGGGCATCATTGGCATGAAGGGGTGCCTTGCCTTTGTCCCGAGGGGGACGCTCCTCGTCTGCCCTCGAAACAGATCCCCCGCTTTCCTGGGGCCTTTGGAGTGCTTTCCCCCCGAGGCGGTCTTGGACCCCTCGGCGGTCTGGCCCTCCTCCGAGCCGGTTGAGGGCGGAAGTACGGGGCCTTTCCCTGTTGTCATTATGGCGGTCCCGGGACTGAACTTCCTGGGAGGACGTATCTTGGGCCGCCACCCCTTCGTCGTTTCTCACCCGAGGGGTGGGATTTCCGAAGGGGTGTGGCAGAGGGGGAAGTATGATGTTTTCCCCAACCTGGGGGTGAGCTGGAGCCAGGGTGCCAAAGGCACCCGGGTTCTGAGTGAGCGTTTGGATGAAGGCGGAGAGCGCCGATTGCACGTCGATGGTGAGAACCGGAGGACTGACTTGGTCATCGCTCCGGTTTTTCCTCTTGGCCTCAATGCCGAGGCAGGCATCGGGGGCATTTTGTTGGATCTGAAGGCGTAGGTCGACAGCCGCCTGTTCCAGCCCAGCGATGACACCGCCCTCGGGAGCCCTGTGAGAGGCTTCGGGGGCGTTGACGTCGCCGAGGGCCAGGTTCTTGTCTTCTACGTTCTTTGAGTTGGCACGTGTTGTCCTCACCATTTTGATAGAGGGCTAGTGTTTTGTGTTTGGTCGAGGGGGAGGGTTTCTTACTTGATTGTTCGACCTCTCAACGAGAGCACCAAATGATGGATAGTCTACCCGGGGGTATATATCCGAAGGGTTATTGCGGGGAATAACTTAGAGAGAAGTCAGAGTAAGCAAGTAAATGTAGAGAGAGAGTGTATTCAGTATGAATGCCGTTTTCAGCGTGGTTACAAATGGGGAAATGGGGTGCTATTTATAGTAGCAATAAATGTCGGGCAGGGATACGTGTCAAGCGCTCATTGGCCGATGGGTCACCTCAACTGGTTGGCGCTGGCAGCCGCATGTGGCCGCATTTAATGCGGCTGTTGGATGGGACGTCTGTGCAGGGTACGGTGATCTGTACGCATGTGAGGCGGATATCTTGTCGAGTGAGATGCCTTCAGCCATAGAGCAGTAGCCGAAGGCTCCTCCAACCGAGGGCACCTTGGTGCCGAGGGCTCACAGTACCGAGGGCTACTGTTTTCGCCGTTTTCTCCTAGTTTCTTAGTTTGCTTGAGAAACCCGTTCTGTGAGAGTTTAGAGCCTTCGGCCAGGGGGCCGAAGGCACCCCTGGCGCGTAGTGTGGGCTGCTTGGTACTCTGGGCGCTGTGATCTGGGCCTGTTGGGCCTTCTGGGCCTGTTGGGCCTTTGCTGGAGTAGTAGGAGTCTGTGGGCCGGGAGTTCCCGGGCCATATACTCCATCAGACTAATTTAATAAATTAAACCCTCATGTTAGGAGAATTCTGTATCTGTTATTCCTTTTTTTAAGTAATCAACTCTAATGTCCTTAATTTGTTTTCACTAGGCCAAAACAAAAACAAAAACTAAAGAATGCTAGACAATGTTTCATACTCCGTACTATTTACTTCATCATCCATTCTATTGACAAATTAATAAATAAATAATTAAGTATATGACTAAGGCAAATGTTATTTATGAAAATATGTTCTTCTAAGTGCAGTGATTATACTAGTAACTTTAATAAAGTAACTTATGTTCATTTTTACACTTAAGTGATTATGAGATGTAATATAGTACTCCATAACTATTAGTCATACTTTATAACTGTCAAATAAGTATTAGTAACACTTCAATAATTTTTTTTTTTAAATCTCAATAATAAAATCAATAACTGTTCAATTAGATTAATAAACTTTACCTTTGAACAAAAGTTTATAAACACACACATATTTGATAGAAATCTAGAAATAAAGATAAAATAGAGCTCAAATTTCCCTCATCACTCCGTAAAAGATAATGTAGAAATGAAGATTAACTTTGGGTTTTTACTTCACTTCTTATGTTTAGAATGCTTATAAAGTCAGTTATATAATGCCAAACATATACACAGTATAACAGTAGTGGCGCTGAAAGTAATTATCTAAATATATTTTTGTCTTATGGTTTAAGTAAGATTTCGAAAAAAACTCCGATTATTTTTTTTATTCAGGATCAAGTTCAATTTATTTTTTATTAGAAAAAGTTAAATTAGAAACAAGATTTGAGAATACATAAAATAAAATAAACTAGAATTATTTGGCAATGGATGTCACCACTTATAAACCCTTTCTTTTTAAACCGTTGCGAATAAAATGAGAACCATTGGATAGTACAAGACCCAGATTCGCCCTTTGACTTCAATTACTCGGTGGATCTTTCATCTGTTACCCGCACGAGTCATTAGATGTTGGACCACGACCCGTCCCGCCGCATTGTAAAGTAATTAACAAATCAAATGCAATAATCTTTTCCATTTTAAGAGAAAACATGTGAAGCCCTGAAACAAGGACTACGAGAGAAGAAAATAAAGCGCAAATGGACAAGGAGTATGAATGGAAAGTTTTACGTGAATCCCTTATTACGGGGGTAGTCTCAAAAATGAAAGAACGGAAAATATAGCAAGAACACCAGAATAGCGATATAGGCAACACTAGCGATAGAAGTCCATCGAAATCTAAGGGATGTCAGTTAGATTGTTGTTAAATTGAGTTACTTTATTTATTTATTTATATATTTATTTAATGTTTGGTATCTCAATCCATCGTAATCTTTCAAAATCCATTGAAATGCGTAAATAGTGAAATCCTTGAAATGTTAGAAGATCTTCAGATGTTAATGGTTTATAGAAATCCAAATCGAGAACATCTAGATTTTGATGGAATTCTAAATTCCATTAAAATTCATATTGGGGACACCCCTCAAAGTTTATCTCCAAATAAATATAAATGAATCTAGCAAATCAAATACACAATACCTATAAAAAAATTAAGAAAAAATTATCTAGACTTGAATAATTAACTATTTATGAATGAATACATGAATATATACTCTGGTTGGAATGGAGGCGTTTGGGTGGTGATTTCACCATTTTGGACTAAAGAAAGCCTCAAGCCACTTAATTATCCGAGAACTTTCAAAATGTAAACCAAATTCAGTAGTTTAGTAGTTTACCACTCTCTCGGCAATATTAATTTTGTCTGTAATTATATTTTGTGATTCAATCATTCAAATTCATTTATAATTTCAATGTTTAGGGTGTGTTTGGCATTCAGCGGTTAACGGATAGCGGGTTATGTTAGTGAATTGTCAATAGCGGATCCAGTCAGCGGGTTTGACTTGCAGAATAAATTGGTGGGTTGTTAGAAGATGTTTGCCAAATTAGCAGTTTGGCCATAAAATTAGTAGAAAACGTCATTTTCAAAACGTCAACCCAAAACTTTCCTATTTGCAGCGTTTTCATTTTAGCGTTTTCGTTAAAAAAAGCTGGTGTCGAATCGCTATTTACCAAACAATTTTTTCATTTATTGAAAATGCCGAAAGTGTCCAAACCGTCATTTTTCGGCTGAAACGCCATTTACCAAACACCCCCATTTACTTACATTAATATCATAATAATAGGTGTGTCAGCCATGCATAGTCAAGGAAAGAAATTGGGATGGACTAAATAAAAAAGTCACACATATAAATTTTCATATAGATTTTTTAAATGTAAAAGTTAAGGTTTTTACCAAAATTTTCCCTCTTAACTACACATGTGTATCGTGTTATAATTCTAATGAGCAGGATATTATACTATTTGTTTTTGTTAAAATAAGATGTGATAAAAACAAGTTTTGAAAATGATTGTTTGTACTAATCGAAACTCTTTGTCTCTTAAAGAACTTCAATTTTAGTATTTTCCTTGATAAATTATTTTTTCTGATTCGATAAATTAATTCTTATCAATTTACTCTAGTGCACTAAAAAAGTAACAAAGATTATACATTATCAAAGTGTTGAATAATGTCAAGTATTGTCAAAGTAATGTAGGGATATCTCTGAAATTTAAAAAAAAAAAATCTTTGATTCCTTAAATTGGGCAATATTGAATGTATAAGGCTCTTTAAAAAGATAGATCAAGTAATATACTTTTAACTTTTCTCCAAACTTGTGAACTTTTTTTGCCAAACATCCCTATGAGAGGTTTGCTGCTCTGTTACACTCCTACTTGGCTAGCCTTGTGCTTTTCTACTCATTCATATGCCTCAGTTTCCTTGAATCCCCTCTTAAATGTGTTATCGTGATAGACATCTATCTCTTCAAATCTCTACTCAAAAGTCGTAAATCTTTTATCCCACTCCACTCTGTTCTGATTCGGCCTCCTTTACTTCTTCCTCAAATCACTTGTTTCTAACCGTCCGACACTTACAAATCACTCTCTTCTGCTTCTGCTGAAGCCAAAGGGAAAAAAACTTTAAAAAAAAAACCATTCTGATGGTTGAGATTTCACTGGCTTTTACCACAGCTTGAAACATCGGCTTTGTTTGAAGATTGAAAGATTCGCTATTCGTTGAGGACTTTGCTGGATTTGATTTGGTATGTTTCTCTGCGTTTCAAGTCTAAGAAATCATCAAAGATATGTTTTTGCCATACTTGTTTTTGTGGGGTTTTAGTACGATTGAATCTTTTCATGGCTTATTAGGTTTTAGCTCCTATGAACTTATTATATATGAAGTTATGAACTATCTATTTTCTTGCTTCTGAGTGTATTTTTTATACAGTACATATTGCGTGAATCATAGTCTAGATTTGTATTGCGTTAAGTTTGGATGTCTGAATCCTGGGATGCAGATTTATACTGTCAGATATTTCTCTCTGGTGCGGCTTTTTCCTGCTTGGGTCTTAGACTTTATATGATTTCCAGAAGAGTCTTATTTGATTGATTGAATGGCTTTTCAAAAACGTGTTTTTAAAGAGGGATATCTTTAAATCATAACCAAAATGATACAAAACCATTTTTCTACATCAAATCTGGTCATTTTTAATATCAAAATATGATACAAAACCATCAAAGAAGCTTTATTTGATGGTTTGGTACAAGTCTTTGATGATCTAAATGACTTCGCCATATTACTTTTGTTATTCATTTCACTTGTTGTGGCCTGGGGGTATGAAGTTGTTAATTCTTTAGTATGCTACTCCGTATTACGGAGTATAATTTTGAAGTTATTTTACCTTTTTTAAATATGTTATATGTATAATACTCTTGAACTATTTCTTTAGTTATTGCTGGTATTCAAAGAACTGATACAAAGCTATATTTTTGTGGATAAGATATCTGGATTTGCACTATGGGTAGAGGAAAAGGAAAGGGGAAGAAGCATTCTGCTCACGAGGATATGGGAAGTGGGGAAGAAGGGAAGATGCAACCGGTCAGAAGAAGAGGGAGACCTCAGAAACTGGTGAAGGATGTAATGATAGAGGGAAAAGATGGAGTTGACAAACTCATAGAAGAAGGGAATACTGATGATAAGAATAACAATATCTTGATCAAAGGTATTACAGATCAAAATAATGCTGAGAATGAGAAGAAGAGGAAGCTATCATCACCAGAGAATGAGAATGGAGTATTAACAGAAGAGGAAAAAGGTTTGGGGATTCAAAATAGTGCCAGTGAATTAGTAAATAAGTCTGTAGGGTTCAGACAGATTGGGAGTAGAAGGAAAAGCAAGCCTAGAAGGGCAGCTGAAGTTGGTGTTGAATGCAGATGAAGTTTCTGTTGAGATTCTTCCATGTTTGATTTCATATGGTTTTCTACATTCGTTTTTCATATTGTTGATTTTGAAAAATCCACTAGAATTTGCCAAGAATTTTCAAATATATACTCTTCCTAAGTATATTCTTGGTAGATTCTTTCCTGTATTCTTCTTCGGATTATTGCATATTTTTTGGTCTTTTTGGCACTAATCCCTTATTGATCATATCCATTGAATCTAGAAGCTCGCCGTGAGATCAAAACATAAAACATCTATAGGGTGTACTCATTTGGGGTCGCAGGTAACTACTAATCGTCCATCACTCTTTCTTTTCTCACTTAGCAATTACTACAATATTGTGATGCCATTTGGAAAACCAAACAATTTGCACTTTGGTTTTGTTCATTATTAAGAATTGAGTTTTCAGGTGTTGTAAGTCTTGCAAAGATAAAAGTTTATTTGTTTGTTTATGTTTTTTAGAAGGGTGTTGATAGGTTACTTAGATGGTTGGTTATTAGCCATTTATAGTTTGGCAGTAAGGTAGCTAGGGAATATGCCAATTATATAAAAAAATTGTATAACTGGTTTAGTAGTTTGTTGGACTTGTTCTTTTTTGTGCATTAGTTTGGGTTTAGGTTTTATTAGATGTTGAATTGGTGAAGATAAGGTGGAAATTTGTGTTCTTTTCTTCCCAACTTCAGCCTCTATCTTTGACTTTCTTTATCTTAAGTTTGGGTAATTTTGAATTTTTGACAGCTTTTTAGCATATCAAAATGAAAGAGGTGAGGGTGAAACATTCTCACCGTATAATAATATTTTAATGACATGTTTGGTACAAGTGAACTTACGGTCACGCCCGTCACGGCTAATACTTGGCTTCTACAAATTAATGAATTTTTCCGTAGTTTCATGCATGAGGAATACTTTTACCATAAGGGTAGTCATTTACTCACTCTTTGGGCCTAGGGATGGACTCAGGCCGGGTCAACTGGCCCGTAACCAGCCTAACCTGGTACTGTTTCGGTCTGGCCCGGCCCGGTACTCGGGTCTGTGCCCGGTTTGGGCCACCCGGCCTGGTATTTTTTGGGACGGGCTTTGAGCCTAAAAAACATGAACCAGGCCCAGATCAAGCCAATTTTTTTTCCCAAAATTTGAAAAAGGTAAATGGGTTGGGCTTAGTGTTTTGGACGGGTTTGGGGTGTGTAGGGGAGGGGTAGGAAGTAATTAGAAAATCAAAAACAAAAAAATAGAAAACCGGGATGACCGAGCTCGACCCGGCCTGAACCAGCCAAGGCCCGACCCGGACCCAGTAGCTACATGGGCCGGTTCTTGGCCTCAAGATTCCCAAAAAAGCCCGGTCAGGCCCAGCCCGGCCTGAACCGAGTCCATGCGTATTTGGGCCTGTGCCGAACTTGCAAGAGCAGGGTCCTTTTTCTTTTTTCTATATAGATCACACGTGAATATTCGCAAAAAATGGGCCTGAAATGAATCTCAAAATATTGGGCCTATAGCAATGCCTCATTAGGAAACCATTTATGGTTTAGCAAATTGTATTTACAGGCTTACAGCCCATCTTTAACTACACATAGCCACCATATCAAATGTCAAAAAATATACATTTTATATACCCATATTACCCTTAAACTTAAATCTGCATACACAGTCTCCTTCCATTCGTTCACCTATCAAGTGTGGACTACTAGAATTGGAGAAAAAGTGCAGATTTACAACAAGTAGATGCAGTCAAACATCTGAAGTCCGAATGATAGTTTGAAACAATAAATTAATCAAAAACGACTTTCAAAAATAAAAATAGAAAAGAAATATCGATAGAAGAATACTGGTTAAGGGAATTAACAGGAAAGGGTCTAAACTTCCCTTGAACTTCATACAAAAAATAACAATAACATCCAAGCATTAATCTCAAAAGATTTTGTATACAAAGAAAAATAAACTAAATTAAATTGGAATCACCTACAAATTGCCCTCTTCGTCCTCAGGTGCTCTAGTACTTGGTAATTGGCTAGTATTTCTTGATACTCCGGCCTGATATGGTGGAGGGGTTCCATCGACATCTATGTGATGTTCCAGCCACGACATTCGACAGTGAAGCCGGGTGAGGCCGGCACGCTTGATAGGACACCCGTAGGTTTCTAGTATGAGTGATTGTATTGTTATAACTATAATTTGGTTATATTCCTGATCTTAATCAGACTAGTTATACCCAATTTCAAATTACACATACAATGGATAAGATGCAATGGATGGTTTCTCTGGTTTATGTTCATCATCACTGTCATAGCTGGACGGTTGTTCTTCCTCAGGGGTATAATGGTTATTTAGTACTTCGTATAATGTTATTTACAATTATTAATTTTGGGTGTTGTATTTACTAATATGGAGGTTGCAAATAGAAACTCCATATGATTTCCATGACTAGAAAATCCGTGTACCAAGAGAAAGTGAAATCTCAGGTGCTGTTATGCTCCGGCCTCATAAATATATTCTTAAGTTTTGGGACCTTGTAACAAATTTTCACCTCCAAAATCAATAGAGCTATCCGTCATGATATATTAATTGTAACAAGACATTAATGGATATAAAATCTTAAGTCATGCATGGGAATGAAATCTCTCCTACTAGTACGGAGTATTAATCTCTATATTATGTCAGTAAAAAATAAAGGTACATGACATATTGGTTTTTGAAGTAAGAGAAACTTGAGTTTTTTCCAAAATAAAGTTAAATAAATAAATATTTCCAAAAATAGTGTCAAGTTAAAAAACATTTTCCAAAATAGGCCGGTCCTGGCCATGTGCAATGGGTGCAATCACAAGGGCTAGGGGTGGATCGGGCCCGAGCCAGGCCGGGCTCCGGGTCGGGATTGGGCGGTACTGGGGTTTCAGGTTGCAAGCCCGGGACCGGCCCTGGTTTATACCCGGACCGGGCCGGGCATTTTTTTTTTTAAAAAATGGCTTTTCGAATTTATTCCTACCCCCACCCCCAAATCCCCCCCCCAAACCATCCAGCCCCACCCGCCTAGCAGCCTATTAATTGCGAAAAATTAAAAAAAGAAAGCTCGAACCAGTCCCGGACCGGCCACCTATTTTCTAGACCTGTAGCCCGTCCTCCCCTATACCCGGTTCGAGCCCCAATCCCGGTCTCGGTATCGCCCGACCGGGCCAGGCCGGGCCTAAACAGTTACGGGGCCGGGTTGGGCTAGGATCGGGCCGACCCATCCTAGTCCATCCCTAACAGGGGCTTCTTTTCAAATAGGCCTCCATATTTTATTACTATAGTAGTAGGCCCATTAAAAATGCTATTCCATTGTGTTTCAACAACTTTGGTCTTCTTAATCCAATACACAAAAACGTAGACGAAAGGCAATTAGGTTTCTGGGCTTCTGGGTTCACTTAATTCCAATTTAGGTAGAGTAGCAAAACCAATGGAGTTAGAGTCTTATGATGTTTTTACTTGAACTTTAATTTGCTGGTCTGATCTGGTCTGGTTTCTTTGTATTTTTATAACTATCCAACAAGTCTGGTATGATCTGAATTGGTCTGGTCTGATCTGGGAGGAATTACCGTCCAAGTAAAAACATCCTTAAAGGAGATAATTTAGCGGTGCAGCATTGAGGCTTGAAAATCAGGCTATTCCGTTCTAACTTGTTTTGTTTCCTTTTATTGCTTGTTATCTTTGTTTTCATTTGAGTTTAATTTAACTATGGCTCCTAGAAATAGAAAGTATGAATTTGTATATGTACACAATAGAAAAAATAGTAAAAATAATTTAACAATTTTAATGATATGTATACTACGTATTATGTTTTGTATTATATGGCCGGCCCTCCGTTTTCTTTAACAAGGCCCCAATATGTTGGGGCTAGGCGTGACAATTAAGAGATCCGTCATTTCAAGTGGCGGCATTAGACAAAAAAGATAACACATGTAATAAGCCAAGTCGAAGGAGAATGTGAGCAACAGTAACTTTCTTATTTGTACTCTAATTGTTACAAACAGTATATCTAAATTCATAATTATTTATTCTTTCATTGACACCGATATTGAATATACGAAAATAAAAAATAATTCGACACTTTAAAAATATCTACTTTTTCAAAGCATTATATCTTTTTTATTTGCATTCCGATCATTACAAAAAATATATCAAAATTCATAACTTTTTATTATCTTTCATATAATATTTGTGTGGCATATATAAAAATAAAAAAAAAAATATTCTATTAATTTTTTCAATTTAGGATCATTTGTTAGTGTGTGCACGATTACAATGTAGGATCGTTTGTTACTTGACACTTTAAAAAAACTTTTTTTTAAACTTTTTATTCTTTGTGCTGGACCTGAATCGCTTCATTCCAAATAATGAAACGGTGGTAATCATGGATTCATATTTCGGCCCCAACCACATGATAGTGGATTTTAACGAATCATGTTGAGAGGGAGGGGGGGGGGGGGGGGAATTAATCGAAGCAGAGCATCCACTAGGATTTTAATTTCACTCAAATAATTATCCATAGACCGATTAGCTAGGCTTCTTTTTAATGTGAGACAATATTCGTTTTAATTGCATAAATCTGGCTAAGCTAGCAAACATGAATCTAGCTAGATTCCAACCGTTCCTAAATCCCATAAGAATGCTTTAAGTCATGAACATCAGCAAGAACAACTCGCAACAGAGTAGCAAAGAGTCATGAACGAATTGTTTGATCAATACGCAACTAAGAGGAATATTCGGTATTAGGGATTTGACGGTTATGGAGATCTATGAAATAAAGAGATGTTACGTGAATAGATTTGTCTACCATGCCCAAAAGACTCTGGGAGACAAGGAAAGACTCGAACTGGGTCCTCCACATGAGGTAGTCTTGAACAACCAATAATTTAGTGGTGACGATGTTCGTGACATTAGTGGAGACATATGAAAGCGTATGAGCAAGGTCTGCCAAAGGAGAGCCAGCATTGGAGACCAGTCTCATCCGTGGACATACAAACGATGAAGAGATGTCTAGTGACCCAACAAAGGTGCGTCCAAAGAATGATGCAGCGGAGAATGGGGGTTGATCCAGGGCGCCGTCTGGACGAGGGACAGTGCAGGCCATGGGAAGAGAGGTGGCAGATTCTGGAAGAGGGA